ATCAGGTCACTGCCCAGTCAAAGCACATTTAAAAAAAATGCAACAGGGTGTGACAGTGGTGATAAAGGAGCATTGGGAAGAACCTTTAATTGCCACTGGGAAATGTGCCTGCCGCCCTTTTGAGGGATGTCTTCTCCACTGATTAATGTTGACCAACCTGGTTCTGTATGACAGTTGAGTGAAGCCTCTCTAGATACTTTTTGTTTTAATGATCCAAAGATACCATGTGAGGATCTCCTAATATATATAGTTGAAAGTATGATTTTTTTTTTTTAGATTGTGGAATATAACACTCCCCCGAATTGTGATTGATTGAGTTACTTGGTAATAATATAGACAAGCAGTTGTGGGAGGCAACTCATTTCCTGCACTATTTACCCCCCATCCCTGGCAGTCCCCATAGCCCCTTCCCCTTTCCTGCTTCCTTCTGTCCTTTCCACCCACCAGCCAACCTACATCTGTCCTCTGTCTTCATCTTTCCCTTACTCACTCCATTTAACAGCCTCTCCCCAGAAGAAGTGGCTGGCAGCAGTGGGCTCAGCTGAGTTGCATGAGTTAGTGAGTCTCCCATTGTTGCTGCTGGGCCTGTCCATGATGAGTCCTCCTCTATCTGGGGACGTGACAGGTGAGAGGGACAGGAGCTTTTCCAGGGCTGTTTTGTGTTTCAGTTCTACCCCCGTCTGTCCCCCTGTCTCCACAGAGCTTTACAGAAAACAAAGTTTAGAAGACTGCACAATATTGTTGTGGCTGCCTAGCAGCTCCTACCATGGTCCTGAGACTGCAGAATGTAGTCTCAGTGGGCATTATTTTCATAAAGGTACTGGTGGTGTTTCTATTTTTGGGGGGAGTTTTAATCCCCCATATATTTTTTTAAGATATCAGATATTTCTGCACAGCTAGGGTTGCCAGGTTTTGTCCCCAGTGGGGGACTTTGGGGGGCATCCCCAAAGTGATGACATCACCTTGGGGATGTCCTGCTCCAAGTCCCGCCCTCCAAGAAAAATCACCAGCAGCCACCCCTCTCCTAAGCCTCCTGCAAGATTTAAAGGACCGGCCAACCAGGGTCGCTGCCTGAACTCCAAGTGGCAATGTCACTTGGAGTTCAGGTGCATAGGGCCAGTCTCTGCCAGCTAGAAGCACTTAAAGGGACCCTTTAAGTGCTTCCAGCCGGCAGAGCCCCAAACCCAATTTCCAAGTGGCATTGCCGCTTGGAGGCCGGGCACATAGGGCCTGTCCCTGTTGGCTGGAAGCGCTTAAAGGGGCCCTTTAAGCACTTCCAGCCACTGGAGCTTCACACCTGATCTCTAAGCGGCATTGCTGCTTGCAGACCGGGCACACAGGGCTGGTCCCTGCCGGCTGGAAGTGCTTAAAGAGCCCTTTAAGTGCTTCCAGCCTGCAAGGCCCCAGGCACCCGCAATCACCCCTCTCCCTCCCCTTTCCAAAATTTAAAGGGGCCTTCAGCTTTCAGCTGGAGGGCCCTTTAAATCTCTCAAAAGAGAAGGGGTGGCTGCGGGTGTTCTGGCTTGGGCACAGGGCTTGGGGGCAGGTTGAAGCCCCCCAAAGTGGGTAAACCCTGCCAGTCTGGGGGGGTCTGGCAGCCTTATGCACAGCTGGGGCTACCTTCATGTTTATATAGAAATTTCCCATTAGTTCCTGAGTCCATTTTGTGGATTTTTTGGTTCATATTCTATGGCCCAGTTCGAAATTAGATATTTGTTATACAGAATGTTCCATTAGCAAACTTTATGGTTTCATGTCTCTCATTAGAAAACAAAGTAGGTCACCCTCAAACCAAGTAGGTATTTATGTATACCTGCTGGCATCCCAGTAAGCTAATGGTTGTATATTTGGTAAAAGTGACTCCTTCCCTCCCAGTGGCCTGATGAAGAACTGTGGAATATTGGAGAGAGCTGAACATCACTTAAGCAGGTAAAAAGGAAAGAAAAAACTTAAGTACTGAGAGAGAGAAATTGGTCTGACTGAGTTCCTAAAAGCTTATAGTATTAGTAGGACAGGTAGATCAATATTATGAGATGCATATCTCACAGTTCTAATTCCTTCCTCTGCCAATTCAAGAATTAAACTGTGAAACTAAAGGAACCTTCGGAGATTAATTGGAAGAAAAGCGGTGCTTCCAGTTCAAAGACTCTTTACACTGTGGAGGGGGCAGAGACTAAAATACTGTATAGCAGGGGCATCATTTCTTTTGAGGGCCAGATTTGACATAAATTGGACTTTGTCGGACCAAGCCATGTGTGGCATAAAATGTAATGCCAGGTAGCAGAGATATAACTTTATGAAGGACACAGAAAAACACAATTAAAGATATTATAGCAGCTGTTCCATTAGAGCCCCACATTAGGGGCTAATATTTCTCTGCACAACTGAAGTTCCTTGAGTTTGTTGAACTCTATATTTTAACTGTGGTTAGTCCTAAATCTCCCCCCACCCGGTGAAATATAAACTACAAATATAAATGTTCTGAGCTTAGGACCCAGGGGAAGAACATGAAACAGCTGAGCATTGCAAACTTCTCCCCCCCCTCCCCACTCCAGGTCTATTCAGAGTGGCAGTGGCTCACCAGGGTCTCGAGGGTTTTTTTACAGGGTGATTTGAGGTAATATTTTGGGTGTCCTCTTCAGCACTTGTTTTGCTGTTATTCCATTGGAACTCTACATTAGGAGGGTGTGTGTGTGTTAAAACTAGTATTTCTCTAGTGTTAGATCACCGCTAACAAAGATCCGGAGAGTGATTTCAGCAAAAGTGATCAGCTTTATTATAGGTACGAACAAGCGCTTGAAAGAAGTCATAACCAGAACAGATTAACATTGGGAGCTAGGCTCCTTTTAAACATTCCCGGGCTAATGTAGCCACACCTATTTACACTAATCAACCAATGAGGTTGTGCGGATAACGTTCAATGAGAGTTCTTCCCTCGCAGGGAATAGTGCAGTTCTGATTGGTCGCTGATGTGGAGCAGCCAATCGTAAGTTAGTTCAGAGGAGCCTTGTCTCGCTCAAAGCTTAACATGTAGAGTGAATGGGGCGATTCACATAAGCCTTTCGAATACACCACAGCCAGGGTGGGCTGGTTTTGGCCCCTGGGCTGCAGGTTTATAGCATCCAAAAGAGAGTAATTGACAAAATTTGGGACCGGTGGGGCAGCTGTCCCATGCATAACCCCTTCCTGCATTGTACTATTCAGGTTCAGGGCTTTGTCAGTAGTGATCATCTTGTTTAGATCTGAGACTCAGTTTTCAGGGCAAACTAGCATAAAATTGCTGAGGCTCAGGATGAAGGAATCAGGAAACTTCCCAATTAACCCGAGTTCAACAGTCTTCTGCTGTTGCACTATTTGGCGTGGGATTTCCCAGCTGTGTACACCATTCCTTTTGTGACTGCTCAGGCCCCCCTCCCTGCTTGTTAGATCCGAAACATGTTGATAACACCAGGGAAAGGTACAAATGGCACCTGTTACTGATAAATTATAAAATCATTAGCATTTATCATTTGCCTGTGCCAGATGGCACTCTTGATAGACTAGGAAGCATTTTCTGAGTAAGGTAAAGGAAATAAAAAAGAGATCTCTTATACTGGGGTAATTCTGTTCACAGGAAGCAGGGTCTGATACATCCCAGCAGGTGCTTCATTCTCATGCTTTCTGGTCTTTTACTCATGGTCATATTCACTGCAAGTAGCTGTGGTTTAGAGCTGGCTACTGGCTCCTTCCCAATAACTGTTCTTGGAGAAATGAAGCAGCTAGCCTCTTTTCATCAGAAAATTATAGAGTTGGGAGGGATCTCCAGGGTTATCTAGTCCAACCCCTGCACAATTCATGAAATTCACAACTACCTCCCCCCACACCCCCGGTGACCCTTTCTCCATGCCCAGAAGATGGCAAAAAACAAAAACAAAACAACCCTCCAGGATCCTTGGCCAAATGGGCCTGGAGAAAATTGCTTCCTGACCCCCTGGGTGTGTAAGAAAGGGCCATGAGAACTAAGTACTGATGCAACCTCCAAAGAAGGAGAGCCTACCACCTCCTGAGGAAGCCTGTTCCACTGAGGAACTGCTCTAACTGTCAGGAAGTTCTTCCTAATGTTTAGCCGAAAACTCTTTTGATTTAATTTCACCCTATTGATTTCAGTCTGGCTTTCTGAGGCAACAGAAAACAACTTCACACCATCCTCTATATGACAGCCCTTCAAGTACTTGAAGATGGTTATCATGGCACCTCTCAGTCATTTCCTCTCCAGGCTAAACATACACAGCTCCTTCAGCTTTTCCTCATAGGACTTGGTCTCCAGACCCCTCACCATTTCCATTGCCCTCCTCTGGACACATTTCAGCTTGTCTGTATCCTCCTTAAATTGTGGTGCCCCAAACTGAACACAATACTCTTGGTGAGGTCTAACTAGAGCAGAGTAAAGCGATACCATCACTTCACATGATCTGGACACTATACTTCTGTTGATACAGCCCAAAATTGCATTTTCCTTTTTCCTACCACATCACACTGCTGTATCAGGTTACCATTTTTTAATCCTCATCTTTAGGGTGAAGTGTAGTGAATGACCAGCACAAGATTGCCTGTTAGGTTTCAAAGATGAGTGAGAAGCTGAAGATGGGATTCTTTCTTCAGTCTGCGACGTTGTCTGCTACCACACTACATTGACTCAGATGTGGCTGATTGTTATGTTTTTAAATAATTTATGTTATTCTCACAAATGACAGTAGATATGAAATCATGCATTCAGCACCAGCATTCAATTATCTGATTTTTAATTGGTCTAACTATGCAGCTTCCACTTAGAATGAATACAGTTCAATATTTCATAGGCTGCCATCATCATTCTCCAGACGTTAATTTGAATTTGTATATTTGTGCTCAATGTTGTTTTCCTCTGTGTCTGAGGAAATGAGGTTTTGCTCTGTTTTACAGTAAATATGGATGTAAGAGTCAAACCAAATTGTTCATTCACTTTCTTTCTTTTTAAACAGGCCTCAGAATACGCTTGTTCAATTTTTCACTCAAGCTGCTAAGTTGTTTCTTGTATATAGTTCGAGTGCTCTTGGATGACCCTTCTCGAGAACATGGATGGTAATATTACTTTCTTTTATTTGTCTCACAAAATGTTTCATAAACTGTATCACTGACATTAGTTGAATGGCCTCTGGATTGTGGCCTACGCTGTTTTTCTTAGAGTCACCCAGATTTCTAGTTGGCATCTGTTGAGAACACCAGTTTTAATCATGTGTGTTATAAAAAGCAGGGTGTTGATGGATAGCTAGCTTGTTGGGAATCAGAGGCCATCTACTATTAGACAAGAAATGTGAAATACATTCAGCTACAGATTAGACAAAAGTTCAATTTTTTTGGAGGAGCCATCTGTCATTCAGTTATTGCAAGCTTTTCAGAAATGAGACAGTAGAGCATTAAGTCTGGAATGGTCAACTGGAATGGGATTTGTATTATCACACTGCTCTTATTTATCATATTGTTTTTGTTTGATATTTTAATTAAAAACATTTTAAAAAGTCACAGCTGTAGAATGTGTGTGTCATGAAGAAATGGCCAAAAAAATAAAACAAACAAACCAACCCTTATGTGAAGTTGTTTTTCATTCCTCTGGTCAACAACAACAAAATGGATCACCAGTCCCTGAACCTGCTGGCAGCTCCTCCGCTTTCCTGGTGGGGCACTTAAATGGGAGGATTTGTCATGCATTATATGCTACCATGTTCATTTACTGTAATTGCCATGATGTCCTCCCTTTCCCTTCATGTTTTGTCCTTTTACAGTGACTTTTTTGGGATGACGCTTCCATCCTAGACTCCTTCCAGTCTGGCTTCTCCAGGGCACGGGACGGAGACGGCACTGGTAGCACTCACAGATGATCTCTGGAGGCATCTGGATCGAGGTGGATCGGCAGTGCTGGTGCTGTTGGACCTGTCGGCTACATTCGACACGGTCAACCATCAGCTACTAGCCAACTGCCTCGCCGACGCTAGAATTCAGGGGCTTGCCTTGCAATGGCTCATCTCCTTCCTCCAGGGCCGGGGACAAAGGGTGGTGCTGGGGGAACAGCTTTCCTGAAGGCACCCACTTGACTGTGGAATGCCTCAGGGGGCTGTGTTATCGCCAATGTTATTTAACATCTATATGCGCCCCCTTGCCCAGATTGCACGGAGACACGGGCTGGGTTGTCACCAGTACACTGATGACACCCAACTCTATCTATTGTTGGGCGGCCGGTCCGACTCCAAACTGGAAGATCTTGACCGGGTGTTACAGGACATGGCTGGTTGGCTCAGGCTGAGCTGATTGAAACTGAATCCATCAAAGACGGAGGTCCTGTGTCTGAGTCGGGGCAGATTGGGGGTAGGGATCCCACTCCCGACCTTTGACGGGGCGCCATTGGTCCCAGCGCCGGAGGTTAGGAGCTTGGGAGTGCTCCTGGACCCCTCCTTAACAATGGAGGGCCAGGTAGCAGCCACTGCCAGGTCAGCCTTTTACCATCTTCGGGTGATTAGGCAGTTGGTCCCCTTCCTTGAATGCATTAACTTGGCAACAGTGATCCATGCGATGGTTACCTCGAGGTTGGACTACTGTAATGCTCTCTACATGGGGCTGCCCTTATCACAGATCCAGAAGCTACAGATAGTGAAAAATGCTGCAGCCAGGCTGCTGATAGGCCTCCCACTACGGGAGCACATTCAGCCTGCGCTGAAGGCATTACACTGGCTACCGATAGTATACCAAATTCACTTTGAGGTGCTGGTTCTTACCTTTAAAACCCTTTATGGCCAGGGACCTACATACTTGAGGGGACCGCCTTTCCCCACATGTCCCCCAGAGAGCACTGTGATCAGGGTCTCAACACTGACTCACCCTCCCCGGACCTAAGGATTCCGGGCTGGTGTCAACCAGGGCAAGGGCTTTTTCAGTGGCGGCTCCTCTCTGGTGGAATGAGCTCCCAGAGGAGATCAGGGCCATGTGAGACCTCATGCAGTTCCGCAGGGCCTGCAAGACGGAGCTGTTCCATCAGGCGTTTAATTAGGAGCTGCCCCGGAAAGAATGCCCTGCCCCCTTGAAACCTTGAGGCAGCCTGAGTCACCTGTCTAATGTTAGACCCGGACCGTCTACCAGAACAGCATGGAAGTCGTGCGCCATCCCAAATGGGATACCAAATCGGTACCTGTATATTGGTCCCATCTGGATGTCAGCACCTTTTCAATGTCTTAATTATTAATTGGTTTTATGACTTTTACTATTTATTGTTATTTCTGTAGTTTTATCTTGCTGTTAGCCGCCTTGAGCCGGCCATGGCTGGGAGGGCAGGGTATAAATATAACAAACAAACAAAACAAATAAATAAAATGGGAATTCTAAACCCCTGCCTAAGGGTTTAGACTGGAGTAAGATTGCATAGGATTGTATTTTAGTGTCTGAGCCTCAAGCCAAGGAGTTTTCTCTTTTAATTATTTGTGAAGCACTACATATTTTTGATTAGTATGATTAACTTCTACTTCAGAACTCAAGTAATGAGCCACACAACTCTTTGAACCACTTGCAAAGAATCTTGGAACAACACTGATTTTTCTGGAGGGCTGTCCAACTGAACGATATGGATTCTGAAAGGAACTGAACAACTGAGAGTGGGGCAGAAGTAACATGAAAGAGATATAAAGGGGGGGCAGTCTTTGAAAGAGAGCAGGCATTCCTTTCAGAGAACAGATACGTTTAAGAGACAATTGTATAACTGCCATTTCCATTTTGCTGTCCATGCATTCAGAGATTGCTATAGCTTATTGCCTTGTAGGATAATTGTAAACAATGGCAATTCCTGGGTGTGTTAAAGAGCAGAAAGTCTTAATGTATTGTTATGGTGGGTCAAGGCAGTTCTGATACGCAGGGAAAGATAATTGTAGGTACATAATAGTACTAATAATCTAATTTCTAGGATTTTTCAGCACTATGAAACCTAGTGCATAGTCTAAATTGTCATTTTAATTAACCTCTATTTTGATGTGGTATTATTGATGGTGAAATGCATTATGTATGATTTATCAGCATATTCTGTATTTTGTGATCGTTTTTAATATAAATATTTTATATAGCTTTTGGTATTATGAAATTTGGGTCCTGGCAGGGCTCTTTTTGTAGAAAAAGCCCAGCAGGAACTCATTAGCATAATAGGCCACACCCAACAACAGGAACTCATTAGCATATTGGGCCACACCCCTGACAGCACAGCTCATTAGCACATAGACCCCACCCCCATGTTATCAGAAGTGTGGTTATCCAGCCACACCCACCTTTTGCTTGTTATTCTGTTTACCTTGTTAGTTGTCAAAACCCAGGGCCTTTTTTTGTAGCAGGAACTCCTTTGCATGTTAGGCCACACACCCCTAATGTAGCCAATCCTAATGAGTTTCTGCTGTTGGGTGTGGCCTGTTATGCTAATGAGTTCCTGCTGGGCGTGGCCAACTTGGGAGCCAGCCGGAACTCCGTTCCTGTGCGTTCCTGCCCAAAAATAGCCCTGGGTCCTGGTAGATCAGTCATCTGAAGGATTTTGCGTATACACACATATGCAGAATAGGAATTTAATATGAGTGGTGAATAAGGTTGCCAGCTCTGGGCTGGAAAATACCTGGAGATGTTGGGGGTGACACCTGAGGAGGGCAGGGTTTGGGGAAGGGAGAGTCTTCAGTCGGATATAATGCCACGGAGTCCACCTTCCAGAGGGGCCATTTTCCCCAGGTGAACTGGTCTGTGTTGCCTGGAGATCAGCTGTAATCCCAGGAGATCTCCAGCCACCCCCTGGAGGCTGGCAACCCTAGCTGACAAAACTTCTCAAACTGAGAAATTGTTACATAGTTTTTTTTGTTGAAAACAAACATTTGAGGTGAATTGGTTGGCTTCAGCTGAGTTGGAACATTTGACAAACTGAAAGTTTTGATAGGTTTAGTGAAATTTCCTCTCATATTGCCAAATAGGGCATCCAGCCTAGTTTACCACTGTTCGTATCTGACCATTGTTCCTATAATTCCTGAGGAACAATGTAGAGATCTCTTTAACATTTCATTCTGTATCATTTGTTTTCTGATACCCGTACTTAGTTTAATGGATCAGATAATTTTGTGTGTTCTCAAAAGTGGATTGTGTTTCCTAAGAACATGTCTTCCGAGACTGTCAGAGTTGTTAATTCAGGTTGCTAGAGTACAAAATGAGCTCCATAAAATCTAGTTATAGAGAGAACATTTTTAGAGCTGACATTATTCTCATATTAAATCCTACGTCTTGGCAAGGAATGGCACAAATGTTTGTAGGAGTGAGATTCCTGCAAATTAGGAGGTAACGAGTGGATCCCCTCCATTTCATTTTGTTGTTCTGTGGGTTGACTGTTCCACACATTCTTGTTTAACTTGGAGATTTTCTAAAATAAATTTTGGAAGTGGTACAAATGTAGTTTGCCAAAGTTTTCAGTTCCCATCCCCCCCTTTAATAGTCTACTGGTTCACACAAGTGCATATGCGAATTGATAATGAGTTCATCGAATATTAACCTTTTAATATCTTTTTGTTTAGTGTGATGTGTGTAGCCTTTGTACTGCATTATAGATTTGTGCATTTCTTTTGTTCATAATTACAATAACTACAAAAATGGGGTGTTTTGTAATTATTGTAATTAATATGAATGCTAAACAAATTCCCTCTCTAAACAGCCTATAATGAAAAACCATTTTCTTTTGTTTTGTTCCGGTTTCCTTTGTTATTACAGTCTCTAAGGCTAATGGCTTCACATTTAGAAGGTAGCCAGCATTATAGAGAAAAGGAAACAGTAGGAGTTTGAACTCTCAATGTTACATCTGTTTGAGCCCTGAATCTTGCTTACTTCGACTGAATGATTCACGCACAGAGCATATGTTGAAAGCAAAGATATATTCATTGACTTTTAAATCTCACATTGCAAAGTGGTCCCAAGCCTCACATGTATGTCTGTGCTATTTCATCTATGTGTCTTCACTGTCCACAATGCAATTGATGGATTCTTTTAGTTTTTATCATGGTATTGTTGCCCTGACCTGGATAGCCCAGGCTACCCCAGTCTCATCAGATCTCAGAAGCTAAGCAGGGTTGGCCTGGGCTAGTATTTGGATTGGGAGACCACCAAGGAAGTCCACGGTCACTATGCAGAGACAGGCAATGGCAAACCAGCTCTGAACGACTCTTGCCTTGAAAACTCTGTGGGGTTGCCATAAGTCAGCTGTGGCTTGACAGCACTTTCCACACTACCATGGTATTGTTGCATTAAAGAAAATATGAAAAAAACACCTGAGACATGTTTACAGAACTCCCAATGTTGCAGCTGTTGGAGCCCTCAATGAATCAACATGTCTTATCATATCTAACTTTTCCTTGACCAGTGCTCAATTTCCATGACACCCATATGTGGGATAATTATTGTTTGCAGAGTCTCTGGTCACCATTCAAAGTAGGTTTATAGAGCTTCATTTCAGATAAACACCATGAATCAGAAGTTGAAGGAGTATAACTGCAAATCTGGCACTTGACTCGGCTTGCAGATATCCTAGAAACGTTGATACTCAAACAATACGGTTGTTGGTTGAAAGCCAATATAATTCCCTTCTGCAAGCAATCTTTTTATTTGAAATCATTAATCAGCTTACATGTCTCTTTGCTCTGGATTATACTAGAGCTTTTTGATTGTTGTTGTTAAATACATTATACAGCCTGCTATTAAAGTTGGTCTCCGCATACGAGATGTTCTGCTTATTCATCCTACTTCCCAGGATGTAGTAAATCGTTTTTTCCACACACTCATGAAAGTTCTTATTGTACAAGATGTTCCAGCCAATTAAAAAATTCCCTAAAAAATGAGGCACTGGCTTTAATGAGGCCCATGTAAATGTTACTTGGGTTTTATGCAGTGCTTTTGGATCAGGTGACATTAAAACACTCACATAGTCATTAATTTACAAATGCTCCCAGACATCTTGGGAGAAAGGTTGATGCTTATTATCGACATAAGGGCAAACTCCCTCAGGCTCAATTAGGGTTGGGACTGCCAATTAGAAACAAAAGTATAGAACATCTGGATGCCTCTCTATCTTTGTTTTAGTCTCCCAGAGTTTCTAAACTGACTCATAATTTCATGTCCCAGACAATGAAGTTCCCAAACATTGCTACCTGGTGGTTGTTGCTGGTGCTCCTTTTCTTTCTTTCTTTCTTTCTCTCTCTCTCTCTCTCTCTATCATCTATCATCTATCATCTATCTATCTATCCTGTCTGTCTGTCTGTCTGTCTGTCTGTCTGTCTGTCTGTCTGTCTGTCTGTCTGTCTGTCTGTCTGTCTGTCTGTCTGTCTGTCTGTCTGTCTGTCTGTCTGTCTGTCTGTCTGTCTGTCTGTCTGTCTGTCTGTCTGTCTGTCTGTCTGTCTGTCTGTCTGTCTGTCTGTCTGTCTGTCTGTCTGTCTGTCTGTCTGTCTGTCTGTCTCTCACTCTCTCTCCCTCCCTCCCTCTGGTGACAGTTCTTTTCCTTCTTTCTTCTCTTTTTCAGTGACCTGGCCTCTAGAATACTGCTCCTCTCCATAGGTGCCCTGCTTAAACTACATATTCTAAGGCCACTGGAAGTCTATCAGAGTAGCATTCTAGATGCTGGGAATGGAATCATAGAATCATAGAGTTGGAAGGGACCTCCAGGGGCATCTAGTCCAACCCCCTGCACAATGCAGGAAATTCACAAATACTTCCCCCCCATACCCCCAGTGACCACTATTCCATGCCCAGAAGATGACAAAAAAAAACCTCCGGGATCTCCAGCCAAACTGCCTGGAGAAAAATTGCTTCCTGATCCCAAAGTGGCGATCAGCGTTTCCCTGGGCATATAAGAAAGGGCCACAAGAACTAATCACTGATGCAACCCTTCCTGCCCTCCCTTTCATGAGCTTCCTGAGTTCACAGAGTCAACATTGCTGACAGATGACCATCTAGGGTGGGAGGGGAGAGACAAAGAGATGCTCATACTGTCATAGAAAAAAGGGGAGAGAATGAGAGAGGGCCACCAGAGCATTCAGCAAGTGGGGGGCAGGGCAGGATACTTATCTGACTTTTTAAAAAGTCTAGGCCAGAATATGTCTTGAGGGTTTTTAGACTCATTGTGGGTTGAAGGTAAATTTTAGAAATTGCCAAGGTCTGTGTTTCAAAGCAAGGAATTAGTTATTTATATTTTTTATTTAAAGCATTGTTATGCTGCCTTTCCACTCAAACATAGACCCCCAAGGTGGCATAAACAGGGAGGAGGCTCAGCAAGGGAATGCCAAACAAAACACAATTGAAAGACCACAGTAAAGTGGGGCAGACAAATTTCCTTAGGGAAGGAATTCAGTAGTTTTGGTGCCATGAGTGAGAAGGTCGTTTTTTGCATTGCCACCCAGTGAATTTAGAAGGACTGCGCTGTGGTTCTGTAGTTTGGATAGTCTGAGTAATTGTTTGTTTTACTAGCTCATGGGGAGGAATCTGACACGATCTGATACCACCTCTGATATTCTTATTTCTTCACCCTCTGCCTTCCAAAATTTCAGCAAGTATTCCTCACATATATTTAGTAATATATTTGGAGACAGGAGGGATTGAAACTTGGCACTTTTATTTAAACAAAATGAAAGGTAACCTTCTCAAGAAGTAGAACTCTAGCACCCAAGGCCACGTTCTGCATGGTTTTTTCTTTTCTTTTTTCTGTCAATGGAATCTTGGCATACTTATGTTACATATCTTATACTATCTGTCTAAAATCTGAGGAAGTGGGCATGCACACAAAAGCTTGTACCTTGAATAAAACCTTGTTGGTCTTAAAGGTGCCACTGGACTCAAACTTTGTTCTGTCTAAAATCTTGTTTTTATTTAATATCTATGACAACATATTTTTGAAATGAACAAATCTTAATTGTGTCTTTTTTCCATGGGTATTTAATACGTGCTATTACCCTTTCATAATTGAACTGCTTATCTGCCTGAGACAATATGCTTATTAGATTGTTCTGTGTATTATTTTGCAACTATTTACCGACTGTTGTTACAACAAGCTAATGATCTTGTCTGGCTTTCCCCCCCTTTTGGCCGCAATACCATTTGTTGTGCTGTTGCGTTACTTTAAATGAAAATGGATTTTAACATTTGGCATCGTGGATATCTGGTAGCAAGGAATTAAATCGGGTTTGTTCCAATCAAAGCCACACTCCTGCAGCAATAGATTGGTAAGTTTCAAGGTTGTATTCACAATAATTGGGACACATTTTTGCATTTAGATATTACCAGTTACTGTTTGTAAAAATCCATATCTGCTGAGTGAGCTGCACTTTTGCAAGATGCGTAACTAGTGCACTTACTGCGAAATATAATTGGTACAGAAAATAAACGTCCATGATCACAGTCTATCAAGGATTTCTCTTGTGTAAACCCCATGAAAATATCACAGTGGAACCAGCAGTAATCTGCTCGGCAGAGTACTGAACGAGCAGCCATTCACCATATTAGGTTTCAGAGTAGTCTGTTACATTTTCTAATGGGAGCAAACCTTCCATGAGGTTTGGAGTGTGAGGCTCCATGAGAGCAAGGTTGGGTCGAAGGCTGAAGACGGGCTCACCCCTTTCCTGTGGGCTTTGCTGTAGCTACTGCCCCACCCACCAGCTCTAAATTGAATTCACACAAGTTTAGGGGGTTGCCTTCATGGCCTAAGAAGCAAAATTAATGTGGTATCATTTCTACAAGGAATTTCACTCTTTAAAAATAGCTGCTGAAAAAGATGAAGAGTCAAAATGCCTCTAGCTAAACCCCCACCCCCACACACAAACGGACAAATAATTTTGCAAATAGTGGATTCATGGTAGTGGGAATAAAACCCTTCTGAGCATTATATAATACCTTAATGATGATCTCAGTTTGACACTACTGGTATCTTTGTAGTCAATTAATACCCTAATCTTATTATCCATATTACTGTTTGTTATGGGCTAGGGAGTATTTTCTCTCACACTCTCTTTTGTACAGAAGGAGAATTCTGCTGTTTATAGTCTCTTCTGTCATTGCAACATTGGGGGAAGGGTGATAAATGTCACATTGATTCCAATCAAGTCCCTGGCTCTGGGCTGCTGACATTTTTATAGGGTGTTAAAGCAGAAACATTTGGAAGGCATTAAAAACCTTTAAAGAGATGAGTATTTTATTCCCAGGTTGTCACAAGTATGCCCACACAGGGCCACACTTGTTAATGCATCTTACAAAAGTTACTTTGCCATCAGAGTAGGCTCTGAAATGCCATTTGATGAGCGTGTCCCATTAATATTGTTCCTGTATTTTAACAGGAGGCCTATTATTTGGGTGAACAGAAGCTTACCGTTGTGGGGACTGCAGGTAATTCAAGATTTCAGTTTTCTCCAGCGCTTGCAGATGTTGTATAATAATATTCTAAAAGTAATAGATAACGACATAGAGAAAGCAGCAGAGAATGCTGTTCAATTGACAAACCAGTGGAAAGGTAAACATTGAGAAACCTGAATAATAGCCTCACAATAAATTAGAGTTCTTCAGAATAAGGCTGGGATCCAAAGATTGCCATATTTACAGGAAAGTACTTCTCCTTACAGGGGTTGGCTTGGAGTTCCTTTTCCTTCCTTTGTTAACTGTGGCCACCCATGACACATTGAACCTTGCCCTGAAGTTTCCCCAACCATTGGGAGTAATTTTGGGGAGGAACAAGGGTCTGCTGTGGGCAGGAGAGCAGAAAAACCCAGAATTTCTGTGGATGGACCCTTAGACTTGACTCTGAGTTATTGAAACACGTTTGAATACAATTTAATTTAGCATGAAAACTTCCCTTTGAAAAGAGCTCTTGTAAAGAGTAAGCCCTTGTTCCTATGTAACCAGTGTGTTCTCTTTTTCATGTGGTAGAGGGGTGGGCATATATCTTTATTCAGCCAAGCAGAGATGCTCTTGAATGAAGTTGGCACTGCACAGTGGCCCCCAAACGTATGGTTCTTCTCCTTTTGACATGGAGCTCCCACTCCTGGGAAAGAAGCACCCTTTATGAGCCAGCAAAGAGTTATTGAACTGCATTTGAACACAATTCTGAATGAAAACTAGAAGTACTGCAGATAATAGTGAATAATGGTTGGTACTGTGTGATAAATTAGAATTCCATCTGCTCACTGAAGAACGTAATGGTTGAGCTTTCTTTTCTTTTGAATGTAGGTCATTGGTATAAAAATATTCTTCCAGTTACAGGGATTTTTTTTAGTCCAAATATTAGTCATGGCGTAATTCACCATGATCCTTTCTGGAGCCCCTTTGAAACAAGTGGGGATTGTGCAGATATTCATTGGCCTTCCCGTAACAGCCATGAACCTGTGTTACTTTTGCAAAACCACTTTATAATGCACAAATTAAGATGCATAGGCTGAGTATCTTGGTTCCTAGCTACACATGAAATAAGGCTTAAGTTCACATTCTATAGACCTCAAGGACTCACAAGGATAAAACCAGAACCAGTTTTGCATATTTGGAGCCATTTGAATGATTTCCTGGTGCTGCTGTTATTTTTATACTCTATCTCAACCCGTAAAGTCTGTTCTGAATCTTGATTATGCAATTGTTCAGGATGTTGGGTTTTCGTTAGCAAGTGACATTTGTTTAAAATTAGAAATTCTCATGCTAATCTTATTCAGAATTCCAGACTCAGTAAAATGCTTCTGCAAATACCAGTTCTTACAATAACCTGTAGTTATTGAATGTGTGCAGTAATTTTATGCCATTTAGTTCTTTTTATAGCTGTTTTTCAAATTGGCAAGGGTTGCATTAGTTTAAAGTGTCTGAGGCATATTAATCTCAGAAGTTTGAATCTGAGACCTTGGAATAACCTTATCTAGAAACCAAGTGTAAGTATGATGATTCAAACTGATGCCTACCCAGGTTGTCTAGTTCAACTAGTCTCTAGAGTGGTTTGTTTGCCTTGAATATGATAGAAGTCCTCATTAGATGCATTTTAAAAAATACAGTTGATTCCAAATACAGTTAATTCCGTATCCCTTATACCAGTTGTATAATCAGATGTGAAAGTGAAGGGTGTAGTAGGAGCTTTTTCTGACTGTTGTATATTGCAAATGGTTGCGTGGTTTTTGGGTAGTGCAAGGAGTTTACAATTTGTGTTCATAGTGTAAGCAGATCTGAATTTGCATTCACAGTATTTTGTATGCCCGTTCAGGGATGACCTCCTAAAAAGTATAAGGGTTATATCCATCACAAGGGCTATGAAAGATCTGTGCAAGGATCCCAGATCTCACTAGATCCCCCTCCCATAGCAGTGCCAGTATCTGGCCTTGGAAAAGTTTATTTCCAGCTTTGCAGAACCCCAGATGGGTCAAGAGGCTGCAATAACAGAGTGGGAAGAGGACAAAACCACAGCTTTCTTCCTCCTCTCAAGCTCTTTTTCATGCAGGAGGGAGCAATTTTGCCATCTTCACTCCACCCATTGCAGCCTCCTGACACTCACGACTGTTACTGCAGACACATCTCACAACCTGGGAATAAACTGTCCTGGGGTTGGAAATGGCTGCTTGAGGAGGGGAAGTGGGAAGACCAGCTGCTGTCAGCGCCTACTGACAGATTGCAGGATCCATCTGTAATTTGTTGCTGGAAACTCTACCTTCATTTTTCCTCATGTGTTGAGTTAGCATATGTACTGCAGAAGGCAGGTCTATTAATGGCTTTTAGCCTCTAACTGGAAGATTCCGGGACATGAGACATGGGGAAGCCATTACATCATGCTTGTCAGCTTCTCACTACTGTTTGTTTATTTTTGTATTTATTCAATTTATACCCCGCCCTCCCTGCTGAAACAGGCTCAGGGCGGCTTACATAAAAAGTTAAAATACATAAAACAAAATGCTGGAAAAAATGAATCATGGTTTGGTGCATCAAGATAATTCCTGTGCTCTTATGCTGCATGGATTAGTTATTTCAGTGACTGTATATCTACACTTCTGGAAGATTTTCCTGACAATGACCAAGTGGTAGAATGAAAATAAATGGCACACTGTGGGTCAGTCTGTATGCCGAGTGTGAACGTGTGAAGTGTTGGCGTAGTTATCACGCAGAGGCAGATTTACTTGTGTTTCAGTTGGATGTTGGCTACTTTGGGGATCAAAATACTCGACTGGATGGACATTTGTTTTGATCCAAGAGGCCTTTTCTTAGGAGAAGACTTCTGAAGAAGAGAAAAAGGCTGCAATTCGGTTTTACTGGTAGATTGAAAGAAAAAAAAAACAAGCTGTACTTGTACACCAGCTAAATTGGTTACTGTTCATAATTTAATTTCATATTTGCTTGGTCCTCTGAACATGATTTCACATGTGTCACTTCTTTAGGTGTCAGTGGCTGTGATAAGTCTATTGGAAACTATACTTCTGAGCTATCTGAGCTATAAAGTAAGTAATGTAGCAATTTTCTTCCATATCTGTAGTCCGCTCCAGTTGGTCCCCCAATGTTTTTTCTCATATCTGTAGTCTGTATTGATTCTCTTTCCAATGGGAGTCCATGTTTCACCTAATTAAAAGACAAGCATGTTTGCAAAGTTTCTTAACTTCATTCTGAAGGGGTTGTTAGAGGCAATGCTGATCCCAGCTGTGAAGCTTCCCGCACTGAGTATTGTCTGTTTCCCTGTATCTTTTGATTCCCTTGAAGTACGATGCCACCTGGATCACACTGGATCCACATTCAGCTAAATCCCCATTTGATGACTAAGGCACCAGTAGCATGAGTGTTACCCCTGAAACCTCAGCAGAGCCATTGAAGACACAGAAGAAGTGCTGAAAACACTGTATCAATGAGAACAGGCCTTTTTTTTTTTTGAGAAAAATATAGCATTCAAAATATGTAATAAACTTACGTTTATCTTATCCTGTCACTGATCACTTCTTTTCCTACATACCTCACTTTATAAAAACCCTATCTAGGAAGCCTAGCTTTACCTAAAAAGATCTAAAACAAGCTGCCTTGCTTTCTTAACCTTTCTTATATATAACTGCCTCACTCTCACTGGTTCTTTCTCTCATTCTTTCACTCAAAGTCACTCCAAGTAAGAGGTACACATTTCCCCCCTTCCCAGCCAATATCCTTACCTTTTAAACTACATGTCCCAAACCATGTATACAGCTGCAACATTTTATGGCATTATCAACCGATGTTATACGCATTACATCACACTAAACATTCAAGATGTTTTTCCCCAAAACGTTGTCTGTCATCCTGGCTTGACTCTTTGAACAAATGCTAGAAACGCTAGGAACTCCCTTGTTGGATCTCCCTGCTGCCTGCAGCCTCTTGCCAAGCGATACTGTAGGCAGTTGGCAAGGCTTGCCTAGTGGTAGAGCTGATTTCCTGCTTGGGAGATGTTGGCTATGATAGAATTACCTGCTTCTGATAAAATGGAATGAGAGTCTTCCCCTCCCAGCCCAGCATATTAAATAAATGTAAGGCTTAATATAGGTCTGATGAACAACAATGCAATAATTCCCCTAGCATTCCATACCCAACAATAAGCTTCAAACTTAATCCTGATAAGTTTCCCCCCCTACAAATAGCATTAGGTATGCCTGATGAGTAGAGCTCGCCTCAAGCAAATGTCTTGTCACTTACTGGCTTGGGATGACAAACTAATTAGAAAGGCTGTCTGAATTTTTTTTGATAGCTAAATAGCACCAGGTTTGAATGAGAGGGGGAGAGAGACAGAGAAAGAGACAGAGAGAGGTTCTCCTGCTTTTCTTTCTTTTTCTTCCTTTCCATATAGAAGCAAGTAGTGCTAGAGTACTAGTCAACATTTACTGGAATAGAAACAAATGTTGTTGTGGGATCATTTTTAAATGGCCTTTTTGATTGCTGCACTTGGGGCGCAACCTGATCCTTTAAAAATCACTTGCTTTATTCTAGCCCAACTGTGTGCATATGTGGAGTACCGTGTGTACGTAAAATTCTATTACGTTAGAGGCTGTCCTATTGTCTCTACTACTGAGAAGCACTCTGCATTTATCAGAATGATGATGTGTTTTGGAGTGCTTCCTAATACTGATAAAAAGGGACTCCCCCAGTGTGACGTGGAACTTTGGGTCACCATGGTCCCTGTGTTCTTGCTGAGTGAGGCTGATGTTGATTCATCGACCTAAAGTGGTGTTTTGAATTTCTAGATACTATAGTGCAGTTTTTAGTCTCTGTAGCACAAAACAAAACAGGGATTTTCTTTGTTTTGTTTATTCCACTCAGATCAAATTCATACTAGGTACAATCCACCTGCCATGCCCCATTGTAATGAATGGAAATCCTCAGCGGTTCCCATTCAATTCCGTGAGGCTTGTGTGGGAGTTCTTCCAGGTGGATTGTGCCTATTGGCAAGAGTACTTTGGGGTCCCATTTAATGGTTTTAACAGTTGCTTAGCACTTAAAACATAATTTGTTTTTTGTATTCACACATTTTATTATCATGGTCAAACAGGAATGTTAATTACTTAGTGGAACAACTCCTTCATAGAAAAGGCCTATAACATCAGAAATAGTTGGGAGATTTGGGGAGAAGGGAAAGACAGATTTTTAAAGGGCAAGTATACATGTCAAACAAACAAAAAAAACATATTTTTGAGCCCTACTGCTATTTGTCAAGAGTCACCAATGATGTGTATTAGGAAGTAGTAATACACAACTTGCATACTGACTACTGAATATTAAGTCAGAGGGTGACATGTTTTTAAAAGAAGTGTATACTTGCTGAGGGAAGCCTGAGCCAACTGAGATGGGGAACAAGAGGACCCAAAGTTCCCTAAAACGACATATACATCAGTAGCTAATACGGCCATGACCTTGATAGCCCAAGCTAGCCTGATCTTGTCAGATCTTAGAAGCTATGCAGGGGCATCTGCAGACCACCAAGGAAGTCCAGGGTCTCAATGCATAGGTTGTTGTTGTTGTTCAGTCACACAGTCGAGTCCGACTCTTCGCGACCCCATGGACCATCTCCCGCCAGGCCCTCCTGTCTTCCGCCATCCTCTGAAGTTGGCTCAATTTCATGTTCGTTGCATCGATGACACTGTCTAACCATCACATCCATTGCCGTCCCCGTCTTCTTTGACCTTCAATCTTTCCCAGCATCAGGGTCTTCTCCAGTGAGTAGGTAGAGTTAAATGCAGAGGTAGGTAGAGTTAAAACCACTAATGTATGTCTCTTGCCTTGAAAAGTCTACGGGGTCTTCTTGATGGCAAAAAAAAGTTACACATCTGGTAGCTCCTTCACATTTTGTCTGTGTCATAAAATACAGGTGGGTACATGCTGATATCATATTGCACAGTGCTAATATTTGTATGATTTTTGAAGAGTAGCCAGGATATGCCGTTCGTACGCTGAGTGTTAGTCTAGTGTTGTTATACCAAGCATATTAGTATAGTTTTGTAGTACATCACATAAAACAATATTTAAGGGTAGAAATAACAGCTGATTATTGATGTTCCATTTTGTAACTTTTTTTTTTGAAAGGGAAACATGTGGGAACAAGTATTGCGGATTCCCTTCCTATTGGAAATTATCAATGCAATTCCTTTCATTATTACAGTAAGTTTCCATCTGTGTTTCTGTGGTCTGAACATTTGGGTTGGCTGGTTAGTCATTTACAGTAGTGCAAACAGTGTTTCCATTCTTTGAAAAGAAACTGAACAGATGTTTCTGTGATTATTTCTGTTAGAGATGCAAGCTAGAATTGGTTTAATTGGTAGACAATCAACTGAAGCTTGGATTGTAATTGGTTGGAACCAATTTAAATTGGCTACAACAAATGTTAGTTGGTGGAGCTGAGATGTATGTCTTAAGGCCTTTTTGGTTCCATTATGTTGTTATAACACTTACTTTTTAATTCACCATCCTTACAATAAGTGGTAGGTTTTGTTTATTACATTGTAGCTTTATATTGTGAGCTGCTGGACAGGATTTGTCTTCCTTTACTTAATTATTGTATAATATCTAGTGTCTGAAGTACTCGATAAAGATGATATCGTGACCTTCTATTTCCTTCATTATCTCAAAAGTTATTTGTACTGAGGCTTAGCTATTATGCTAATTTATTTAAACTTAAGGGCTTAAAAAGCAGATGTCTAATCAAGCACAAGCGATAGATAGCCCTGGTATATAAGCTACATGAATTTGAAGGCAGGGCGAAACTACCAAGTAATCACAGTTATAAAAACTTTGTTTTTACACTTTAAATACACACATGCTCGCTAGATCCTATGCCAAATAAACAAAACTGCCCTTAAAAATCTGTGTGTCGGAGGGCAAAAATGTCACTCAAATTTTTGACAGTGTCTTGGATGGTGTGCTCTCTGTCAGAAAGACTGGGGAGCAATTCTCACATTACAAAGTCCCTGTGTCTTCCGTATGTTTGCTCCAGTCCTGCCAGCCAGACATGTTCTGAGAGTTCCATGTTTGAAATTTAATTCCAAGGTGTACATGAGACAAACAGTGGCTTCCCAAGGCCTTTTCGAGTTAAGAAAATGGCATGAGGGGAAGGCGTAAGCCCCTTCTTACTGTGCATTCTGGTCTCAATCCAGATCATACCTACACATGCCTGAGAATTAAGTTCCAAGAATGGACCTACCACCCCACATCTGGATATGTGGGAGGCACAAGGATTTTGTAATAAGTGAATTGGCCCTGGAACAAGTTAAAGATGGCCCTGCATTTATGCATGATACATTTGTCTTTCCTAATGGAAGGAACTCCTATCATTGATATCTTTCTCATGGAAGTGGCTGCAACCAGAAGCAAAAATGTTCAGGGTATTAATAACTTTCTAGCTGCTAAGGTTGTTTAAGTTTCTAGTGTTAAGTAATGGGTGGGGTTAAAAGAGAGCATCTTGAATGCCAGTGAGAAGAAATGAGGATATTTAAAAATAAATTAGTTTTTCTGTGAAAGTTTAAAATACATGCTTAGTGACTTTCTGTATTTTTTTTCTTGCAGATTTTTTGGCCTTCATTAAGAAACCTGTTTATTCCGGTATTTTTAAATTGTTGGCTTGCCAAGCATGCTTTGGAGAATATGATTGTAAGTATAACAGTAGTGAGATAGAAATTCATTTTTAAAGTGCTTACTTACAATTTTCAGTATGGGTCAGTGCAAAAATAAGTGAACATAAAAGCTTGATACACTCCCTGCTCAAATGACAGGGTTTAGTTTCAAGCCTGTACAGAGCAGCTGAAAATTGGTGGGAGTAAATTGGGTTAAATCCAAGCATGTCAGCTTAATTGCTTTTTGGATTGCCTTTCACATGTTGAAGTTGTTTCACAGTCAGCATTTCAAACCTTCTGTTTTACCTCCCTGTAGCTTAATTATATTCAGGTTTTTAGGAATCCAAATGCATTGTCTGTGTTTATAATAAAACCATTGGTCCAACATTAATCCCGTTGACAGGTCATCTTCTTTTCTGGTTCCAAATGGCTAGCAAGTCACTCACACTGCAGAGCTAGGAACCCTAGCGGTCCCAGCTTAGCAAATAGCTATTATACTTGGCTCACATGCCACCCTGGCATCAAGATCCAATGAAAAAGAAAAGCAGAGCATGAAGATGTGGCCATGGAACAGCAGTGGTCCAATTATTGCAGCCTAGTGTGTTTGGTCAACTGGCAAATTTAAGAGCAGTCGTAAATATATGCAATAGAAGGCATAGGACCAACATTGAAATAATGATGCTTTCAACTGAAATTCTTGGTACCAGTGGATGAACATTCTGCAAAGTTCAGGCAGTGTATAATGAATTGGAGCAAAAGGAAGCTTAGGCAATCGTTGTGCATTATTGCAGTCCAGTAGAGAGTTATAAATTACGACCTAAACTTAAAGACTTGCTTTAGAACCACAGACTTTACAGACAATTTTGCCCCTGTCATTTTCTACTTTCAGTTCTTTATACATTTAGTGGGAAAGGTAGTGATTATTATCTGGTTGTTGTGAGGATGAACTGATGAATTGTGTGCTCCCATGAAAGCAAAGCTGGTTTAGAGGTTCTGCCCTGGGTGACCTCATTACTTGATATATCGTGCATGGTGTGTTGTCAGTAGCACATGGCAATGTCCTTGTGGTAACAAGTTTACAAAGTGAACCACCAGTCATGGCTGGCCCCACCCGCATTTATTTTTGCTGCTGGGAGATTTCAAATGAAATTGTTCCTATAGTATTTCTGTCTCTATCCTTGTCTGTAGATGTCCACTCTGGCACCTCATTCTATGGGGCTGCATGTTCCAATTTGTTTCAACCACAATATAGCAGAAAGTTTTATGGTGCACCATCAGTTTAAGCATTAACTCAGGATGACCTTCTCTGATAGAGAACTGCCACCTAAAAACCAATTCTGCCCTAGAGAGCATTTGGAATGTCCTAACTGTTCTTAACATGCAGTCTGAGTGTGGCTCCTGTGAGTTACGTTTGGTTGTATAGTTTTAGTTGCTTTATTGCTTTGGTTTTTCTTTGGATGTAGTTTTAATTTTCTTTCTTTTTTAAAATTGTAATTGGTTTTGTTAGCTGCCTTGGAGATTTGTTATCCAAAGGCAAGATGGAAATATGTTAATAAATAATTAGGGCTGCACATTAAAAAATGGTCCAGAAGCTCACTCTGCCCTGGATAGCCCAGGCAAGCCCAATCTCGTCAGATCTCCAGTCTTAGATCCCTTCCAGTCTGGTTTTCGCCCAGGCCATGAGATGGAGACAGCACTGGTCGCCCCCACAGATGATCTCCGGAGGCATCTGGATCAGAGCGGATTGGCAATATTGTTGCTGTTGGACCTGTCGACAGCATTTGACACGGTCGACCATCAGTTACTGATCTACCGCCTCACCAACATAGGAGTTCAGGGGCTTGCCTTGCAACGGCTTGCCTCCTTTCTCCATGGTTGGGGACAAAGGGTTAGGGGAACAGCCCTCCCAAAGGTACCCACTGGAGTGCAGAGTTCCTCAAGGGGTGGTGCTTTCCCCGATGTTATTCAACATTGTATAGAAAATTTGCTTTCTGCTTCTATCCCACCGTGGTCGAGGTGAGCTCTCGACCCTTAGTCCTAGCTCCCGCCCACCCAGCGGTTCGAAAGCCAAGTAACTATCTATCGGCGAGTAGATAAATGGGTACCCACCCTTAGTAGGGTGGGGGACACCCCCCTCCGTCTGTGGAGGTGTATGGAGAAGCAGCGGCATCGGCAGCAATGGCGATGAGCTCTCGACCCTTAGTCCTAGCTCCCGCCCACCCAGCGGTTCGAAAGCCAAGTAACTATCTATCGGCGAGTAGATAAATGGGTACCCACCCTTAGTAGGGTGGGAGACACCCCCCTCCGTCTGTGGAGGTGTATGGAGAAGCAGCGGCATCGGCAGCAATGGCGACGGTGGCGACGGTGAGAACAGCGGCGGCAGCAGAGCACCGGCGGTGGCGATTGGAGGAGATGACGCAACGCTGAGAGGTGGCAAGCAGCGGCAAGCA